GAACATGCTAGGTTAAGCAATCTACTACCATTAAGCTACACTCCCAGACCTATTTTAATGCTAATATTCTTTTAAAATAAAATATGAAAAACATTTAAAATAGGAAAAATCAGTCAAATCCTATCATTCCAATGAGTTTATTTCCAATTTTATTTCCTAAATATAGTTTTCCTTTCCTCATTTTTCACATAACTGAATTATACTACGTATATAATTTTATACCATTTGCTTTAACATTTTACCACAATTATTTTCTTTATAGGTATAATGTGAGAGCTATCTTAAAATGTATCAAGGCATTATATTACTAGTTAACTTTCAATGTACACCACCTTGTATAAAAATGTTAACATAGGGGGCTGGGGATTTAGCTCTGCAGTGTAGCACCTGCCTGGCCAGCATGAGGTCCTGAGTTTGATCCCCGGTACCAAAAAAAAATGCTAACATAGGTGTCACATGTGATGATTCTACTGTCATCATGCAGCATCAATGCACTTTTAGGCAAGGTACTTTTAGGCAAGGTACTCTTGCTAAGACTGATTCTTTTTTTTTTTTTTTTGGATCGAACTCTGGTCCTTGCACTCTCAAGGCAGGCGGCAGCAGAACCACTGAGCTAATTCCCTGGCAAGACTGATTATTGTCTGTAAGTGGGGTTGATAAAGAACCTATCGAGCTGGCATGATGGCACACACTTGCAATCCCAGCACACTGGGGGGCTGAGGCAGAGGATCACCAATGCAAGCCCAGCCTGGGCAACTTAATGACTTAGTGAGACCGTGTCTCCAAAAATGGGCTGCTTTATGTTCAATCTCCAGTTACTACTACCCCCCAAAAAAGGAGAGGGAGGGGGAGATGAAGATAGAGAATTTTTGTTTTGTTGAGACAAGATCTCATTGTATAGCCCAGGCTGTCCCCAAATTCCTGATTCTGAATGGTGGGATTACAGGTGTTTACCACAAAAGCTAGGCAAGAAAATACAGTGTGTGTGTGTGTGTGTGTGTGTGTGTGTGTGTGTGTGCGCGCGCACACATGTGCTAGGGAGTGAACACAGAGACCTGCAAATGCTAGGCAAATATTCTACCACTGAGCTACCCCCCAGCCCAGAAGTGTTTTATTTAATACACGTAATGTTTAAACTTTTTTTTTTTTTGGGGGGGGGACAAGGTCTCATTGTGTAGCCCAGGCTGGCTTTGAACTCACTATGCGCCACAGGCTGGCCTCAGGCTTGCAATCCTTCTGCCTCAGCCTTCCAAGTGTTGGGGTTACAGACATGCACCACCATACCTGTCCCAAAAATGTGGAAATATGAAGTTGCCAATATTTTCCAGATTTTAAATCTGCAAAACTAATAATTTCTGGGCCGGGGATGTAGCTCAGAGGTACAGCACCTTCCTTCAAGCCCTGAGTTCAATTCCCAGTACAAAAAGTAGGAATTTCTTATTATTCAGCTTAATAAATGCTAATATTTGAGAGTTGAATATAGATTTTTCTGCTTTGTCTTGATTTTTTTTTTTTTTTTAGATAGTCTTCCTATATGGTTAAGGCTGGCCTTGAACTCACAGTGATCCTCCTGTCTCAGCCTCCTGAGTGCTGAGATTATTCTGATTTGTCTTGAAAATAAGATGTGGCAACAAGGACAGCTGACTGTCCAGCTGTCAGCTGAGACCTGGTAGCAAATTCTGTTCCCTTTAGATGGTACATGTCCTTTTCCACACCATCCTATTATCCCTGGTAACCTGACAGCTCCACTCATTTATTACTCTGGCTGGCTCATGTAGCCAAAAGAATTGGAAGCCTCTGGATTTCTCAACATGCTAAAGAGTGATGCTCACTCCATTTTCAAGTTGTCAGTTTAACACTGTGATCTTTTTTCTTTCTCCCAAATCACAAATTTAGTTTTCCCATGTAATGCATTAATAAAACAGATTGAGAGAAGAAATATAAAACACATGCATCTTTTAGATATTAACTAAGATATATTAATTCACAGTCTAGAATTGACATATATATTGGTAGGGATCAAATTTAAAAATACTTAGAACATTTACTCCACAATGATAAATTGTGATTATTCCAAATGACTACAAAGTCAAGAGGTCCATATATGTACATGTCTAAGTCCAAATAATTCATTATATAATGATGAGCTTCAGCTCTCTCTTATGTACAGTAAGATAATGCATAACAAGAAAGGAGGGAGCACATGGTGACAAGCACCTGTAATCTCAGCATTCTAGGAGGCTGAGGACGGAGAATTACAGATTCAAACTTAGCCTGAGAACTTGGTGGGACCCTGTCTCAAAATAAAAGTGGGCTGGGGATATAGCTCAGTGTGGTATAGGTCAGGTTCGATCCCCAGGGAAGAGAGGGGAAGAGAGAGGTAGGTAAAGGGGACTAAATTGAAGTATTTATTACTATCATGCCTCCTACCCCCAAATTCCCTCTGGCTCTTATTAAAGGAAAAGATTTTGTATGAAAAAGTCATGCCTTAAGATATCTGTTTAGATACTTTGTAGACAGACTTTTCAAAGGGGATAGGGAGGACAGAATATCAGAATTAAGCCAGTTAAGTCCATCCAAACTATTATAAAGTTCTGTACTCTGAACTTTAAAGAGAAACATATCAATCTTATTCACTGAAGTTATCTGTTGTTTATAGTATAAAATCGTGTACAGAATATAATTTAGCCGTGAGCGTTATCTATAAGTACACCAGAAGTGGAGGACAGGAAATTGCAAAGCCTGAGGTAGGCATTTTTTTATATGTTCTCCTCATCCCCTCTTCCTCTTCATCTGGGAGGTTAGACTCATGGCTGTGTCTGGGCCACAAAGGACTGAAATGTAGGCATGCCCCAGAGTCCCAGCTAGAGGCTGAGAGGGACCCAGATCCAGGAAAAAGATGTCCCACATTCCACTGGCAGCCCCGCACCATGCAGAACTGGAAAGGGCCGTAGAGCCGGGACTCTCTGTTTCCAGTGCTGGGGGCTCAACAGAGAAACTATTTTAAAGATTGTTATTAGTTATATTTTTAGAAACAGACTTCATTATTTTTGAAATTTACTAATGTTTGTAAAAGTTTTACAGGCTTCTAATGCTATGTAATATTCATTCTAGCTCTTATATTGATAAGCATTCATTGCCAATGACCTTTTAGTTTTTCAGTTCCAATTTCTATTGAATGACCTTTCAAGGGACATAGAAAACTGATTAAACATGTATTGATGTTAACAGAGATAATGATTAATTTATCTATATTCAACTCATTTATTTTTAATGATATTTAAAATTTTAATAATCTTAGTTTATCTAGTTTTTAAAACAAAAGCACCATGCCTCAAAATGATTTGCCAGTCATGACTTCATGACTGGGGTAAAAATTTTTCTTTTTTTCTTTTTTTTTTTTTTTTTTTTAGTTTATTGGTACATTTAGGGATACAGTACAGTTACATTCATTGTTGGGATCATGTACCTTTACATGGCAAGTCTTGATTCTCATTTTTTCCCCTTACCTCTGCCCTCCCTTCCCCCCCTACAATTTTTCTTTTTTTCTCATCTTCTTTTTTTTTTTTTTTTTGGCAGGGATCAAGCACTGGACCTTGTGCTTACAAGGCAGGCAGCAGAACCACTGAGCTAAATCCCCAGCCCCTTTTTTTTTTTCCTCTTCTTTTTGTGGTACTGGGGATTGAATGCAGGACCTTTACACTGAACTATACCCCCGCCTTTTTTTATTTCTTATTTTGAGACAGAGTATCACTAAATTGCCAGACGGCTCAAACTTGGGATCTTCCTGACTCAGACCCCCAGACTGCTGGGATTATAGGCATGCACTAAGAAGTATTTTGTGAATCCTAAATTGAATTTAAAAAGAAAAAAGTTTCATACCTACTAAAAGCTGTATTTTAATTTTGGGCTACACTAATAGAGTATTGCATACCTATAACACGAAGCACTCAGGAGGATTAGGTAGGAGGTTCTCAAGTTCAAGGCCAGCCAGAACAATTTGAGGTCCTCTCTCAAAACTTAAAATAAGGGAAATATATCTCAATGGTAAAGTACCCCTGGGTTCAATCCCCAGTATGGGGAAGGAAAAACTGAACAAGCAAGGAGAGCAGTTGAGTCTGCAATTGTACTTATCTTGAATATACTTTATTTTTACATATGTTTTTCAGGACTATAATGATCTGTTTATGCAGCTGTCTCCCTTGCTTTGTTGGATATTCCTTAAGGGCAGGATCTACATCTCACTTGCCTTAATATTCTCAAGAACTAGCATAATACCTGACACTTGGTAGATAGCTATTGAATGTTGATAGAGTTGAATCAAATTAAACTAGAAATATTTGGCTTAATGACAAGGCAGGCAGGGATGGTGGCCTTCACCTGTAATCTCAGCACTCGGGAGGTTGAGGCAGGAAGATTGCGAGTTCAGGTTAGCCTGGGTTGCAATAGCAAACACAAGGCCAGCCTTTACAATTTAGGAGGACTCTGACTCACCACAGAAAAGCAGAGCGATACATAATCTGTCTTTCAGATATTTGAAAGGTTCTCATGTGCAAGAGAGATTCAATTTGTTCTATATGACTTCAGTAGACAATCAACGAGTGGAATTTTCTAAGTGTTAAGAGTTGTCTAAAGTTACATGGCACTGTCTTAGGCGGTGCTAAATTTTTCTCAAGGAGATGGATGTCTCTTGTGGCACAAATTTATAATCCCAGCACATTGGGAGGCTGAGGCAGGAGCATCTCAATGTAAGCCCAGCCTGGGCAACTTAGTGAGACCCTGTCTCAAATGTTTTAAAAAAGGGGGCAGGGGGAGCATGCTGCTCCGTGTAAAGGCCTTGGGTTCAATACCTAGTAACTAATAACAATAACAAAAACAGGAGATGGATGTGTTTGAATTTTTTTCAGTTTGTTGTAGATTTGATATATACACACGTGCTTATTTTTGTCACTTTTCACAGAAACAAAAATGCTAACCTTATTCGATTTTTTTTTTCATAGTCAAGTTTATCCGAGAAGTAACACCATATATCAAGAAGCCATCCCTAGTATCAGATCTGCCATGGGAAGGTGCAGCTCCTCAGTCACCAAGCTTTAGTGGCAGTGAGGACTCTGGTTCTCCAAAACACCACAACAGCACCAAAGACAGGAAGGTCATCCCTCTCAAAATGTGCTTTGCTGCTAGAAACTTAAGCATGCCGGATCTTGAAAACAGGTAAGCTGTACCCAACAAGAACATACTTTTAGCTTTTAACCTAAGGACTTGCTGCAATGTTATATGACTCTGATAAGTAATATATACAGAGGAAAACATCACTTGGAGATGTATGATTCATTTTTGAAGTTCCATTTTTAAATTACTTCACATATCTGTGCAGGTATATATAAAAAAATGTTTAGATAGACACTAGGAACTGTTAATGTTGGTTACCCTGAGGAGTGAAATGATAGTAGAGGGTATTGTATTGTTTTTGTTGGCTTTCTTTTAAAGGTTTAAGGTATTGTAGAAATTATGTGGTGTTACCCATAGGTTTAGTCCTAAAAGTTAATGTGTGTTGCATCATCTAAATGCAGTACAGCTTAATCTTTCAAGAAGTTCTAGGCCAGGCATGGTGGTGCATGCTTGTGATCCCAGCACTCAGGAGGCTGAGGTAGGATTGCTGTGAGTTGGAGGCCAGCCTGAACTATATAGTGAGTTCAAGCCCAGCCTGAACTACATAGTGAAGCAATGTCTCAAAGTTCTACTATTTTGTCATAAAGTAAGAATTTAATTTGTAAAGCAACTAATCACCTCTGTTTCTTAAAACCATATTGTGCTAAGTGTGGTGGTACATGCCTGTAATTCCAGCACTCTAGAGGCTGAGACAGGAAGATCCCTATGAGTTAGATCCTTAACAGCCTAGGCTACATAGTAAGTTTAAGGCCAACCTGAAAAAATAAAGAAATAAAATTTTCTTAACATTGGATACATTTATATTGAGCCTTTGGTCTGTTAATTGTGGATTTAAAACACAAAAAATAGAGGCCATGGAGAAGAAAATAGAGTAAGAAAACAGTGTGATAAAGAAGGACAGATTATGGGGCTGGGAATTTCGTTCAATGACAACACACCTGCCTAGCAAGCAAAAGGTCCTAAATTTGATCCCTGATACCGCAAAAAAATAGAAAAATTGTCAACTAGCTGTCAGAAGACAGAAAGACTAAACCCCCTTTGTTACAAATCATTTCTAGAAATATATGTCTATATTGCTGTTAATATTAGAATAAATAGCAAATGTATTGCAAAATTTCTGTAGAAATTTTCTGGGATTTTCGGAATGGTGAAAGAAGAAAGGAAGATCATGTGATGTGGCTGTATTGCTAAAAGTTATGTTGTCTTTATCATCCATCCAGACATTTTAAAACCTGGAAACATTAGCTGGGGATTTAGCTCAGTAGTTCTGCCACCTGCTTTGAACCCAAGTGCAATCCCCGGTACCCCCCCACAAAAAAACCCTGGTGACCTTGGCTTTCCTCAAAACTTGGGACCTGTATTCTCTTTAGTATACATATTTATATTTTGAAGACATTTGGTGATGATAATGTTAGAACCAAATGGAGAGGGTAATTTACCACTACAAAAGTTCCATGACTCTTCTCTTTTCAATATTACTATTGGAAGAGTAATTAGTTCCTAATTTTACATGAAATACCAGAATTTATAAATGATTTGTGCTTTTTTGTAAAGTATAAATTAGAAGAAATTCAAGGTTATTCCTATGATATTACTTCAACTTACACTCCAGTGTGCTTCTTTAGAGAGTAGAAAAACAGAATTATAAGTAGCTTGGTAGTAATTATGCATAACTTTGGTTATAACCGTAAGGATATGAACCTCTCTCCTTTGTCATGGTAGAAAAAGTATATAAACTCATTGATAGAAGATAAAAGTTTAAAAGATGGGCTTGATTTCTTTTTCATACACCTTGATTTTTTTCTGTATAAAATAAAAATTATAGGTAAATTTAGTGAGAAAATAATTGTAAAATTGGCATAATAAGTTCCTAAGATATTATAGGTACCATTAGTGTCTTTGTGTCCTTATATAAGTTCTGTAATTTCTCCCATTTTTTATATGTAAAATGGACATAATACCTATCAACTGTTACCAGGTAGTTTGCTCTAAAAGTGGCTCGCCAAATAAACATGACTGGGTTTGGGGTGCTCACATCTTCAGGAGTTGGATTCCAGGTTCTTCTCATCTCAAGCAAAGAATTGAATGAAATGAGAAAGAAATAGTGATAAAATTTATTTGAAAAAGTAAAACTGAAGTGTGAGGTAGAAACTGGCTCAACAGTGAGCTTGGGCTGAGTATAAGACAAAAAAGGCAAGATAGAAGTACACCCTGAAGGACACAGGGCAGGCTATTCTGAAAAAAGCCACCATAGTGAGCTTTGCTTGGCATCTGTGTCCTTTTATGCCATCCAAATCTTGAGGGAACACAAGAACTACTACATATGGGTCCTGAGAGGCTGTCCCAGGATCCTGTGCTTCTCGTCAGAGCCAGTCTAAGCTATACCCTATTTCCTACCTCACAACTGTACCCTTTAAAATTACTTCAAGCTTAAATAAGATAATACCTATAAAATCACTTGGAGCTCTTTGGTCCTTGTCTCAACTCGGTTAGAGGAAGTGTCAGTTTATTTATTTTCTTATTGATGGTCACTCGAACTACTTATAGTTTGGAGCTATTTATTTAGAATAATTTTGTACAAGTGTTTTTGTGGACAGACATTTTCATTTTACAGGGTAAATTCTTAGGAGTGAAATTGCTAAGTCAAAGGATGGGTGTATATTTGGTTTTAAAGAAATTGCCATGGGAATTTAGCTCACTGGTTCTACCGCCTGCCTCGCAAGCACAAGGTTCTGAGTTCTATCTCCAGTACCCCAAATAAATGAGAGAGAGAGAGAGAGAGAAATTGCTAGAGAGAGAAAGAGAGAGAGAGAGAGAGAGAGAGAGAGAGAGAGAAATTGCTAGACTTTATGCCAAAGTAGGTGTGCCATAGGGGCATGGGAAAAAATAAGATACATCATGTAAAGGTACCAGATCCCAATGATGAATATAACTATACAATATACCTAAAAAATACCAATAAATTCAATGAGAAAAACAAAGTAGTATTGCCATTTTATATTCCTACCAACAAAATATGAGAGCTTTCATTGCTGCATTTTCTCTCTCCAATATTTGTATCACTCCTTTTTTTAATTTTTTTAATTTTGACACAGACTCGTGCTAAGTTGCTCAGCCTTGGCTAGAATTTATGATCTTCCTGCCTCAGCCTCCCAGCGTGCTGGGATTACAGGCATTCACTACCTTGCCTGGCTTGATATTAGTCTTTTTATTATTTATTTATTTGTTTGTTTGTTTTTTGGTTTTCTGAGACAGGGTCTCACTATGTAGTTTAGACTTGACCTGGAACTCACTATGTAGTCCAGCTGGTCTTGAACTCATAGAGATCCTCCTGCCTCAGCCTCCTGAGTGCTGGGATTACAGGCGTGCACCACCATGTCCAGCCGATATTAGTCTTTTTAATATTAACCATTCTGACAATTGTGGAGAAGAGTCTGTTTGTGACTTATCCCCCGTTTTTATGTAAAGCTTTCAGTTTTTATTTTTTCTCACTTCTGGGGGTTGAACCCAGGGCTTTTGTAGTAATCAACATCCCCAGCCCTTTTTATTTTTTAATTATTTTTTTGACATAGAATATCACGATGTAGTTTAGGCAGTCCTCAAACTCACTATGTAGTCCAGACTGGCCTTGAATTTGTGACAGTCCTCTTGTCTCAGCCTCCCAAGTGCAGAAATTATAGGTATGTGCCATCATGCCTGGAATAATTAATTAATTTGATTTATTTATTTCTTTATTTTAATTTGTTTTTTTTGAGATAGGGTTTCACTATGTAGCTGAGGGTGACCTCAAACTATGTAGCCCAGGCTGTCCTTGAACTAGAAGCAATTCTCCTGCTTCAGGCTTCTGGATACTAGAATTACAGGTGTGCACCCTCAGGCCTGGCTGTTTTTTATTTTGAGACAGGGTCTTACAACATTGCTGAGCCTGGGCTAGAATGAGTGATCCTCCTACCTCAGTCTCCCAGCATGCTGGAATTGCAGGTATGTGTCACCATAGTTGGCTAAGGCTTTACTTTCTACACCAAAAACTTGGCCAAGCCTCCTGGCACATTCCTGTAATCCCTACACTCTGGCAGAAAGATCGCACATTTGAGTCCAGCCTAGGGGCCCAACAATTTAGCAAGACCCTGTTTCAAAATAAAAAAGGGCTGGGTACATAAATCAATGTGAAGGCCCTGGGCTCAGTCTTTAGTACCACAAAGAAAAATAAACCAATCAAAAGTTTGTTTTAAATTAGCAACAATCTTTTTACTATTTTACTACTTTAATTTTGTTCCTCTATATAAGGCTGGAACAAGTTGCTAACCGTGAGAGTGAAGAAGGGTGGATGGAGTTTACTCCTTTCCTCCTACTTTGGACTTTCATGGCCTCACTACATACAGCTGGTAATTAGAAGTGCTTCATTCAGGAAAGTGAAAGATAAATAAGTAATAAGTCCAGGAAGAGAACATGAGTCCATTTCTTAGCAAGTAGCATTGTGAATAGTATGAAATCTAGTAAGAACATTGCTTTTCAAAAGTGTGAATTTGGGCCGGGAATTTGGCACAGTGGTTCTGCTGCCTGCCTTGCAAGCCCAAGGGCCCTAGTTTGATCCCTGGTACCAAAAAAAAAAAAAGCGTAAATCTGTCCTTTGCACTGATTCCTAATGGCTCAGTCATCTTCATAATGGTTATTTTCCATATAAAAGGTACATTTTAGCTTTAGGGCAAATAAAACTACATGGTTATTATTAAATTGAACATGTAAGTTTGTTGAAGCCTTGCTAAACAGAAATAAAATGGGCTGAACTTATAGGATCCTATGCATCTGTGTACCTAAACACTGATTTGATTTATCTGTTCAAAATATAATTGCAAGGGCCAGGGATTTAGCTCAGTGGTTCTGTCATCTGCTTTGCAAGGGTAAGGTACCGAGTTCACTCCCCAATACCCCCCAAAATATATATATAATTGCATTTCTAAGGATATCCTTAGTGGTTTGACTAGAAACCAAAATGTTTCACATTGTGACCGTCTCCCCCTTCATCCTCTCGGCCTGATTAT